GCTCTTGCTGCCAAGTACTGAAATCAGCACAGAAGAAAGGATGTTAATATCATGATTCCCTAAAATAATTCTGTGATCCTCTTACAACTCCATTATGGGTAGGGACCCTGAAATTGAGAAATGCTGTCACCCCCTATCAAATCTATAATATAGGGTAAAAAGCACACAAAAGACCAGATTTCATAACAGTGACACATTTTTCATGTCTGTGAATTTGTTAGACCCGGATGACAGTCTAAAAACATGACTAGAACTGAAATAGAACAAATGAAATATGGGGAGCTGAGAAGGGGTATGAAGCAGGTAGCACAATTTAAATAAAAATGAGCAATCCTAGTAATTTATTATTTTACTATACATTATAGGCTGTGTCTAGACTGGCTACTTTTTCTGGAAAAGCAGTCGCTTTTCTGGAAAAACTTGGCAGCTGTCTACACTGGCCACTTGAATTTCCGCAAAAGCACTGACGATCTCATGTAAGATTGTCAGTGCTTTTGTGAAAATACTATGCTGCTCCCGTTCGGGCAAAAGTCTTTTTCCGAAAATCTTTTGCAAAAGGGCCAGTGTAGACAGCGAAAATGGCGATCGGGGCTTTTTTGTGGAAAAGCGCGTCTAGATTGGGCATGGACACTTTTCCGCAAAAAGTGCTTTTGCGGAAAAGTGTCCTGCCAATCTAGACGTGCTTTTCCAAAAATGCTTTTAATGGAAAATTTTTCCGTTAGAAGCATTTCCGGAAAATCATACCAGTGTAGACGTAGCCTATATTTAATGAAGTAAAACTTAGAGGAAAATGAGCCCAATAAATAGCAAGCAGACAGATGTTTGAGCAAATCAGATAAAACTTAATATTTCTTTTCTTAAAATTAACCAATTATCTGCAAGAGGGAACAAAGCAGTCACACTATTTTGTTGTCAGTAAATATAGCATTTTGTAAAACTTCTCCCAATAATTAATTGTAAAGGGCTTGGATGGGCTTAGTAGGGGCTACATCTAGACAACAGGATTCTTTCAGAAGAAGCTTTTTTCAGAAGAGATCTTCTGAAAATACTTCTTCTGAAAAAGAGCATCCACACAACCAAAGTACATTGAAAAAGTGATCTGCTTTTTCAAAAGAGTGGCTACGTCTAGACTACATGCCTCTGGCGACAGAGGCATGTAGATGAGGCTACCAGGCATAGGAAAATGAAGCGGCGATTTAAATAATCGACGCTTTATTTAAATTTACATGGCTGCAGCTCTGAGCCGATCAGCTGTTTGTCGGCTCAGCGCGGTAGTCTGGACGCGCGGGTGTCGACATCAAAGGCATTTGTCGACCACCCAGGTATGCCTCCTGGAATGAGGTTTACCTAGGTGGTCGACAAATGCCTTTGATGTCGACACCCACGCGTCCAGACCACCGTGCTGAGCCGACAAACAGCTGATCGGCTCAGCGCCGCAGCCCCTAGGTGGTCGACAAATGCCTTTGATGTCGACACCCGCGTGTCTAGACTACCCCGTTGAACCATCAAACAGCTGATCGGCTCAGCACAGCAGCCATGTAAATTTAAATGAAGCGGCGATTATTTAAATTGCCGCTTCATTTTCTTATGCCTGGTGGCCTCATCTACATGCCTCTGTCGCCAGAGGCATGTAGTCTAGACGTAGCCAGTGTGTCCAGACTGAATGGGTGCTCTTAAGCTGTGATTGCAATGGACAGAATGGCCACTAAGGCACCTGTGCTTTTTCCTCCTCTGTCAAAAGAACTCCCTCTTCCCCATCCACACATGCCTTTTTGTGAGAGTTCTTTTGCAAAAAGGCGTCTTCCTGGTAGAATGAGGATTACCAATGCCAGAAAACCCCCTCTGTTCTTCTGATTTTCTTGCAGAAAAATGCATAATGTAGGTTCCTCAAGTTTTGTCAGACAAACAGCTGTTTTTCTGACGAAACTCTGTAGAGTAGACTGAAAAGTGCAAAGGCTAGTGGAAAATAGTGGATGTTAGCTAGCTTCCTCTGGTCCATGACAGTTACTGAGACCCACTGACTTTTAACACCTGGATATAATGAAAACCACATTAAGTGGGCGTGGGAGGGGGAAGCAAAGGGACAAGTATGTAGCAGCCCTCTCAGGACCCATGGCCCACAGTGCAGTATATGGACAGAGAAAGGTGGTAAGAATCCGTTCCAGGGGAATAATTTAAAGAGTGACACAGGCGCCTATACCCCACTGGCCTATAGATGTGGCAAGGGTCGTACATCAAAGGGGCCCTCCAGGAAACTAGCCCAAGGACTATTTGCTGCGGATAAAGCTAACCCCGCCTGCGCCGGAGACAGCGAGAGACAACAGCAGCAGCGCTTCTGGACCCAGCCACAGGCAGTCCCTGGGAAATCACTTGCGACTAGCGAGCGCCCCGCAGGAGGAACACACGGCTACGGATGGGGGGGAGGGGTGGCCTTATTTTATAGTCCCGTCCGCGCGCCGCCCCGACGACTGTGATTGGCTTATTGAATTGACGCTCCTTTCCCCCCCTCCCCCTGTTACCAAGTAACCTCGCCCATGCAGCCTGCCAGGC